AAAAAAAAAAAAAAAAAAAAGGAAAGAAAGAAAGAGCTGAAAATTGAAGAGAAATTAGAAAAGGAAATCAGAGGTGGCATAGGTTTTAGCAAGTCTCCACTACCTTTTCCATCCAGGACCTGCTTTGCAAGAGATCAATCTTCACCCTTTCAAACATCTGCTCTTTTCTCTCCTCGTGATGGACTGAATTGGCTTTCTCTAAAACCCTACATAAAAGAGAGAACATCTCACGTCTCCAAATGTTGAAAATACACTGGTGAGTAAATCTGCGAACATGAATTTTCAGATTGACATACTGCATGCCGTTAACCATTATATCTTGGATGATAATCTCTATAATATCTTGAAGTTTGTTGATGATTTGAGATCGATATAACTGAGCATCCTCATAATCTGTCATCTGTACAATTAATTAAAAAGAAAAACCAATGAAACACACAGCACATGTGCAAATGTTGAAGCAAATGAAGTAAAATATATATATATATATATACAAGGATCAAAATATCGAAATTACCAGAAGGTTTAAAAATTTATCCAGTTTATCACTTAATAGAGGCAGCCCACTCATCGTAAAATCCCTCAAGAATCTTCTCCGCTGGATGCTGCTTTCCACTTCATGACATATTTCCCAAATAATTCTACAAAGACAGACCAACAATACAAGTAATGCATATTAGTCGAAACTTCTGGGTGTCATACCATTTTTCTAGTTGTGAGTACAAGCCCAACTACTAGGTAATTAGAGATCAAAATAGAAAGACAAACTAACTGGGAAGCCCTTACTTTTTATCCCCATCGTCTAATAGAAGCCCAAGAAGCACGTCCCTCAGCGTTTCGTAGCATTCAATTATTGCGAAATACATGAAATCATCATTCTTAATTTTCTTGAAGAGGTCAGCATCCTCCTTCTCCTTGAAATCTTTGGCCATGTCCAATGCTATGGGAATCTAAAGTCGATGACAAGATAATCAGTCCACAACATGAGAACATTAGCAGGTGAAGAACTGCAAACTAGACCAATTTTTACCTTACTCGCCAACAAGAAAGGAGGCCATTGAACGACTGATACATCACTTGATGAATACGGCACAAGAAGCAAATTTTTCTCCCTGGAGAATAAAATTGCATAATAATGTGACTCCAAACTATTTTAAATCACACTGCTGCTATAATAACTTCACCTCCCGCTATTTTTTTTTTTTTCCATCATTTAACTAACTTGGTAATAATGGAAAAAATCTTACGGACCTATTGCTTATCAAATCTTCATTTCTCATAGATAATATGAACTCATTCCACATCTGAGAGAATTTTGCGATATTTATTCTTTCCACTGTGTCATCCTGCAATACAAATTTCCGATCAGAAAAAAAATCAGCCATCAAACAGCAAATTCTTGTGGTTTATACTTGATAAGAGTGAACTTCTGTCGTTTATTTTAGAAAGAATAAGATTTCCATGACAGGTCCTGCTCGCGAGCTTGAGAATACATACTACTGAGCATGAAAAGACTGAGAACATCTACTGACCCGTTGATTTTGTCTGGTTTCCTCTTTGGTGTACGGAACAAGACGCCTACTGAAAGCTGAAGGAACGGATTCAAATCTTGCCCTCAACATACCAAGTGTTCTTATCTAGAATTAGCAAAATTTCACAGAGAAGATCAAGGGAAAAATTATATTATGACCAGGAGGTTTATGAATTTATCTGAGCAAATATGTCGACAAATCACGGACCTCCCCAAGATGGCTGAATGCTCCATAGATTCCACCAACAAAAGTGGAGAAGATAGCATACCATATTTGTGTATCCATGAAATAGACCTGGATGAAATAAAAAACTTCTATATGATCTTAGAAGACTTTTTAGCAGAATATATAATATCAACTGGTACTTTTTATGACGTACCAGAACAGCTGGGGCCCATATTGCAATTACTACCGCAATATTATGAGTAACTGCATTATACACATGTTCAAACTAATTAGGCCGCAGAAAATGAGAAAAGAAAGAAAAAACATAAATTGTTCATGCGTAGAAAGAAGTTACCATTTGGGAAAAATTCGTGCCAATCATAACTACTGACTCTGAGACTCATGATAATCCTTGTTGGTTCGATCAGTGGTGATATCTAATACAAAAATGCACATTAATGTATAAAAAGAAACCTGGAAGCCGTAAATCAAGAATGATAATGGAGCTTTAGAAAAGCAAACTGCTACGAATAAGAATTAATATCAGTTTTCTTTGGTAAGGAGGGGGAGAAGGGGTCGGGGAAAGATAATGTCAAGAAGAATCTATGTAGTAAGTAAAGGACTGTTTTTTTTTTTCACATTGGAACCCCATATGTGGAGGTCCATTGTAACATATGCAGATGGATAACAAGGCAATTAAAATATTAACATCCAAATTCAGCTCCCCTAGTAAATAGTAATGTGCCTCGAAGTTGCCTATATCATAAAACCCACATTTGCATGGAAAAATGTACCTCAACATAATAGCTGAATGCAAGCTTGACGATTATTAGGGTAATCCAAAAGAGTGTGTACCTGATCACAACACAAAATTGTTTGTCAAAAAAGGCAGGTAAAAAATGTGATCTGATCAAGATTCCTTGCAACACAATCAACATAGAATAGATGCCAAAAAGTAATACGCTTGCACCACCACATGCATGCACTAACTTTTACAAAAAAATATGCCGACAAAAAAATGAAACAGTGGAAACGATTTTACAAATGCTTATTCAATAGAAGAAATGGTTTCATGGTCTAATATAGACATCTACAGTCTTACTTTAGAAGGGAGAAAATGTCTTCATGCATTCCTCGTCCAACATACAGCTTTGGCTGAAATTCATAAAAAATGTATTCATTCATAATTGTATAAGACAAATATATTAATCACAAGCACAAGCATAAATCAAAAGGGCTTACCTGACACCACCACATTAGGAGGTTAACAACACGCCAGGTAGAGCGTTCCATAGCTCTTCGAAGAAAAGGAAAGAAAAATAGCAATGCAGCCAATACATTGGGTATCAAATAAATCGCAACAGAGTAGTTATACATTGATTGGATCTCCCAATTTGCTCCCAAATTATTGAAGAATCTTACTATCCCACTTGGATTCTGAACGGATCTGGAATAAGTTACTGGCATGACTATAAGCCAAAATGAAGCAACCACAAATTTCATGAAATAACGAAGTATCTGCGTAAATTTCAGGCTCCTCCAGGCATTAAAACTCAGGACTATATCCAGGAAAGCTGCATAACAGATGGTGGATATGGTAGGAATCAGTTTACAAGTCTAGCTCAATTAATTGAGCACTGCCGTTGAATATAAAAGGTGGACCAACAGATGGAGAGAGAAAGAAATCATAGGTACCTCGCCAAAAGTTTAAAATGGCAGCAGTAATGAAGATGCTCATAACACTTCGAACAAGAGTATCATCAAAAAGAGCATTGGAGGATCCACGCTGATGCCATGCAATGATAATCATAGCCTGATCCATAAAGAATGAAAGTTGATTAGGAAGCCATGCAGATGAGAGATCAAGAGGGAAAATGAGTATAAAGAAAACCAATACCCAAGCTTTGATAAACTTGAGCTCATTTGATGGAAGTTTTTCAATGAACTTGTCAGTTAATTTTATTTTTTTTTTCTCCTCTTATATCCTTCCTTTACATGAACTTGTAATCGTTCGATGAAAGTTGCTAAGGCACTTAACAATGTTAAAACCAAGATTCAGTTTCCGGCCATCATTATTGTCCAAGAGAACAAATCAATCAAGTGTTCTTTGTACCTTTATCCAAATTTTGTTACCATTTCCTTTTCTTTCTTTACGGATTTCCTGAATCGCTTTCAACATATAGATAAATTGGATCCAACTGATATAATGTCTTTGACCCTATTGTTATTTCGACAGAGAACACTTGAATGCTTCGAAAAACAGGTTTCTAGGGAACAAAATGAAACTACCCAACACCTAACAGAAAAACTAAAATATTACAAGCCAATCATATCATAATGTTCATGCTGATAAAATTATGTTGCATTTCCATCTAATTTCCCTAGAAAATACCGAGTATTTTTCATCTAAGAGAACAAGACTAATAGAAGTAAGTCTGGTTTCAAATTTATAATTTACTGTCATCTTTTCTTCCAAGGGGCGAACTTAAAGATCCTAGGTCCATGTGGACTAGCGTTACATGGAACACATACAACTACAAATGCTGAGGGTCCATAAGGAATGCTAAACAGCTAAGGTTAACTTCTAAAAAGCTCCAAATCCATAGTTATGCAAAATATTTAATGATAATGTCCACCAAGCAACAACATGTGTTTTTAATTCCATAATATTGTACTCTGTGTGGCCATATGCGTTCATCTGACACCATTTCTTAGAAGAAGAAGAAACTCAAAGGTACATAATGTGCATAGGATTTATTTTATGCAAGAGTCACTGGAAACAAAAAAACTCTACATGAAGGTTAAGAAATATATGAAAAGAGAAATATTTTTTAGAAGCTACAGCGTAGAAGAAATATATAGTGAATCAATGACAACTGAACACAATAAACACTTGATACAAAGTCAATCTGCAAACTTCCATGAAGAAATTCTAGAAGCTCATATTCTCAGATTGAGTGAGGTGATTCAATGCAACCCTACAACATATATATTAAAATATAAACAAAAATGTTAATATTCATTTTGAATCTCATGTATCTCAATCCCATACCTACTTTTCTTCTTGTTGGAAGTTATGTTTATCCCAATTGATAGTTATTGGGTTTTACTATGTATAAAGGTGGTGAGAACCCTCTCCCTTAGCTTGAGCTAGCTTTTAGGGATGAATTCTACCCAGACCCATTTATCATGGTATCAGAGAATCAAATTGGGTTTGGACTTGACCCATTTGGTTTGACACGCTGCACGTTAAGGCGGGTGTTAGAAGTTATGTTGTCCCACATCGATTAGTTACTAGGTCGTTATTGTGTACAAATGTGAGTTGGGCACCCTCTCCCTTTTAGCTAGCTTTTAGGGATCGGTTCTACCCTGACCCTTTTATCACTTACTAAATTTTTCTACAAACTTCACCACCATTAATGATAAATCATATATTCAACTACCATTAGTACGTTCTTACATTGAGAATCACTTTCAGAATTTCAGAAAAATAAAGGAAAACGTAATTAAGGTTACCTGAAGAGCCAATATGAAAAAAATCCACATTCTGTCAAAACTTGTATAAAGATGCCAAAAGGTACGCAGTTCAACAAAATTCGTCTTGGGCTTTCTCTTTCCTACAGCTTGGTTATTTCCCTGCAAACATGATCTAAATCAGTACATATATCTCCTAAATTCCAAAATAGATACGAAATACAATCACAAAAGAAGTCGATTCAATACAAGAAAGCCATTCCAAAGCTGAAACTCTGTTTCGTAGTTTTTCTAAACAGTTAATCCATCGAATGCAGCCGTTGTAAAGAAAACATCACCATAGATTTGAACAGTTCGAGATAAGATAAAAGGGAAATTCAAAGACACTCAGGAAAGATACAAGATAAGAGATCCACAGTGAAATTTTCCTTGTAAGTGGGCATGAACAGCATACAAACAACAGTGCCTACCTTGTTTGCTGGCTTTATGACCTCTGAATGCACAAAAAAGTCAGCTTTCCTATCTAATGGCCAACCCAACTTCAAACACTTTTTAGTCCTGAGAAAAGCCAAAAGAATGAGTCACTCAAAAAAACAGACATCTCAGCAAGGAGGAAAAGGAAATACAGCTTCCCATGTTACCAAAAGTATTCATTCAAATCATCATAATTTCTCCATGCCGAGTGGCTTGCTTTCCCATTTTTGTTTCTCCTAACTTCCTGTAGGAATAAAAATTGGAGAATTAGGGACGAAATAAAACAAATCAAATGATTAAAAGTGGCAAAGGCAAAGGAAATACCTTTTGCATAACCTCGTAAATAGGCGTCACAACATCCATGAGAAATGACTCCTCACGCTGTGGAGCCGCCTGATATGTACCTCCTATGACATGTTGAACATTGCCAAACAAAGTCCCGTACATGTCGTGTGCCATCTAGAATTTCAAAATGCAGAATTAATATTTTTTTCAAGGACAGAAATAAACCAAATAATCAAATTGTACTTTTAAGTATAAATGACAAAAACAAAAGGAACTTGTGTGAGTATATAATTATCGACAAGTGAACTCACTTTTCTCATAGGGGAACAGGCAAAGTAAAAGAGGTAATGATAATGCTAAAATAACTACAGCAGAGCTGCAATCAAGTCAACTTGAAGCATAAAGTAACTATTCTAACTTACCTCACCTGAAAGCTTAAGCAACTAAAGGGTGAAAGACGTTACTGAATATAATGAGTAGCATCAGTCTCTCATATGCAAGTGTAGCATTTTTATTATATTTTTTCTAATTTGTTTTGGAGCAACATACTGTGCAATTTTATTTACTGATTTGCAACATGGCTTTAAAAAGGATTTTTGACAATTCGATATTTCATCAATTCACAAACAATGCACTTGATCTTCCGGAGAGGAACATCTTATCTCCCATAAGTCTACACAAAAAATCAAGCATTATTCAAATAGTTAAAGGAACTAGCAATAAAAGATTACACTCCACTGCTGTCCTTTGATAGTAAACTACTTGGTAAGAAAATAAACTGACTCTTAACTAATAACATGTATCATCTCAGACATGAACACGATAAATAATGGGATTCGATAAACTATTTGGAGGTTAAAAAATAATGAAATTTAAAAAAGTCTGGCCCAAACCCACCCTTAGAATTATCAGATAAAAATGATCTAAAGCAATAGCCATGCTGTAAATAACGACCAAGGGAGGCTTTACACAAGCCCCAAGTATCAGTATCCATATAGTTTCAGATATAACATAATTGCGAAAAAAAAAAAGGAGAAGGAAAAGCAGGTTATCCATACCATTAATTACACACTGACTGCATATATAAAGGTGTCAGAATATGATTAATTGTTCTTAGGAGAGAACATACACGATGAAAAATATAGCATAGGCACTCTGGCATAAATCGGACATTTGAAGCTTCACCCCAAATAAGAAGATAGAGTCCAATGTAGAGAAGCTGTGACTGTTGCCTCCTATCACCCAAAGGGCATCTACAACCAGAAAGATTTATATGTAATGACATTGTGACCCACGAACATATTAGATGATAATGTAATCAATGAGCTGTGAACTTACTCCAGATTTGGTGGAATGTGCAAGTATTTACACCACGACCTATAGTTCTTGAAAATCTTGTCCAACAATTTCTGAACCGTGTTGCTATTTAACTGCACCACATTTTGTCAACAACTTGACCAATATAAAAATAGAAAGGCCAACTAGTAGTGACCTTGAAGAAGAGATTGCATTATGCATACAGTTAACAAAAACTTACATGCTCATAATTCTGTAGGTTCCTGTATCTCACATCCATATTAGCAAGAAGCAATATCAAGTGCTCCCGCTGGTTTGCTACATTTCCTTTCTTTTAACACCCACACGGGAAAAAAAAAAACAGACAGCTAAGATGATCTATCTAAAGAATATTCAGATCAGGAAAAAATAGAAGTACACAGAAAATTGAAAATTGCAATATTTTCGGTAAATTGAATGGATCAAGCCATTGTAAGCAAAAAGCAGAAGAAGTTGGTGATACAATTTAAAACAGTTTCAACAACGTGAGCAATTTCATAGTCTACCTGAAAACCAAAGCGTAAAGCAAGCCACTCAAGAATATCATTTACTGTTCTCTCCTTTCCTTCATGAATTTGAAAATGGGGAAGACTATCGACATCACGGATAGCTCGAAGTGCTACTTTTATCTGATTATTAAAACAAGAAAAAATTAAATATATGAAAACCAGATAATATTTTATCAGATTTGTCTATAGATATCAACATTGATGAAAAGTTCAAGAATCTTCTTAAGATGACCTCAGTTAGTTCCATGATGGCTGGTTTAACGCTAACAGCATACAAGGGAAGAATATTATAATGCTCGTACTGTTCTTTCTTCTCCTCAACATCTTTGGCATATCTCTGAGTCTGCATAGTTCACATAAACAGAACTTAAATGTGTTGGTGAAAATCTCAATTTAGAATATGTATGGGCGAGAAACAGAATAAAACAAACCTGTTCATCGATTTTTGATTGAGGAACTACTGTCCGTAAAACATCATACAACACGGTCGCAATTTGATAGATCTTGGCCATTTCCTCCCTGCAGAGACAAATGATAAAACATAAAGTCCAAATTTAAATGTAAATTATAACTCTTAATAACAATAGCTTTAGATCATAAAGACTAACGGTTTTTTGGTATATTGCCCTTCTCGGATATTTTTCTCATAGAACATCTGATAGTATTTCTGGATTTCCCTCGGATCATTTTTTGCAAGTATGGGTTTAGTCTCTTCTTCTTCCTGCAAACATTAAATTCAAGATGCCCTTGAGGATTCAATTTGGAGACAACTGTAAGAAGCATATATTAGACACTGCGAATGGTAGCACAAACTGAGCCAAAGACAAAAATGTTGGTTAGCAAATTCAATGCCATCATCTAGAGTGCAAAGAGTAGGATGATAAAACAAGTACGTAATATCAAAATTAACATCAGGTCTACCCTTTCAAGTCTGTGTAGTAAATATGTCTTGAACTGCCGAATACCCCGCCCACTTGATGTTGGGTCCATCCGGTGTGCTTTCTCGAATGCATGAAAGCGACCTAGTTCAGAAATAATTAATAATTAAAAAGAATAATCCTGGGATTCTTATGAGATATACAAGTATTGAATATTATTGCACGATATTGCTGAAATGATAAACTTGATATGATCTAATATTGTACAGAGTATAGTAAATTAAAGAACATAACCCATGTAAGTTTTCTGGAATTATGCTACTGCAACTTCAAAGAAATTATAACAAGAGTAACAAAGGAAGAGATGCTCAAAATGATGCCACACAGCTTCTATAATACTAGGCATTCTTTTTATGTATCTTTTGGATCTAAATCGACTCCTTAAAAGGTCAGTGGCAAGTTCACAGTAAATCTTGCAATCACAGCTCAACGTCCATATTATTTTTCATTTTGTTAGCAATCAATGTAAGAGTTTCCAGACTTCCTTTCCATCTAAAACCAGAGAGATGACCAAATGGATGAATGAGCTAACGACATTTTTATCGTCATTTATCAATTTTCCATTGTTCGAAATAAGGCAGGTTGGAGAAGGACAAGACTACGAGTAAACAATATGGTAAATAAATTCCTGAAACAATTTTTATCTAACTTCACCAGAATCCTGAAACAATTTTTATCTTACCTCACCAGATTGCAATAGACAGCTAGCCAAACACTTTTAGTAGATTGAACAATAATTTCTAGGATGGCTCAAGTTCTTCTGAAATGAAGGAATTTCCTTCTTTTTTTCTTTCCTTAAGAAATAGAGATCCATACATTGAGGCGACCTCAATGTTCAATTCGGTGGATAAAAGACCATCTCAAATTTATTTCAATATAGAGCTTCTGAACTAATTATTAATGGCGTTCTGTTTTGGTACATTGGATTAAAGAATCAACAGGCCTAGAGACATGGTCAATAATCAAAATGGAATTGCTCAATTAGCGAACTGCAGATATAAAGCACATAAAACATATTCTGTAATGGTAGGAGACAGACGGAAACTACTAATAAAATCCAACATAGCCCTTGCATGTTCCATTCCCAAAATCCATTTTTTCATTCTACACATTTCAACATCCAAATATCTTGTTCTCATTTTCTTGGTCCTTCTGCAGAAAAGTAATCCAAATGTATATCTCCAAGTTTCAGTATACACTAAACTGAAGTTGCCACTCACTATCCTTGTGCTAGGCGAGCTACTATAAACTATAGCTACGAGCTATGAAAATCTACTGGGACTCATCATCTACAATTCCTTCAAATAGAATAGTTTACACAACATTTTATTTTCTTCCAAAATTACATTTTTCCCAGTGTTTCCTAGCATTTTCAAGTCATCCTACTAGGAATATTGAATAATCCCAACTGGCAACTGGACTTAACTATTACCAACTTCAGAAACTGTCATAGATCCAAAATTTTAAAACTGACAAAAAGATGCACCATTATTTCATTTTCATCACATAATTTCTTATTTTCTAATTTTTTTTTCCTGAAAATTATTTAACCATTCATATAACAATTACCAAATCAACATAAAATACTTCTAATCATGCACTCAAATATAACTTCACATACCACGCCTAAAATCTGTTCAAAATTACACTCTCAATGCAATATTGAATGAAGAAAAGTTTTCGGTACTTAATATGGAATCGGAATCTTTTCCTACCACTTGCTGTAGGTTTCAAGTCACCCTACATGGCAATATCTGTCAGTTAGTAGGACCAAAAAACATCAAATACCCTTTGGATCTCCTGTGCCTAATTCCTCACATGCTAACAAGAAAGCTGGAATCTTTATCACATCACATAACCCATAAAAATTGATACTTCTCAGTGAAAAGCCTTAAAGAACATAAATATAGAAACTTCACAAATCATGACCGGCTTATATCCATCTCAAGTTCATCCAAGAAATTTCCAAACTAGACAATTCCAGGCACCTCTTAGCCAAACAGAAAGAGGCAATAAAGACAGAGTTCACATGAATGATCAAAATAAAGTCACTGTCTGAAAAAAGGCTCTCTTTGTTCCTTACATAGATAAGCAACCCGAGGGTTCTCCTTCTCGACCTCGTTGGCCACACGGAGGATGGGTGCTATGGAGGCCAACGAAGACGGCACAATCTCACTGTCCACGGCCCCATTGTCGTCAGTGGGGTCCACCATAGTGGGCGCCCTCGTAATCCTCCGGGACAGTGATCTCGGTGGGCCCACGTCATCCTTGGTCCCACTCGAACTCGCCATCCTAGCGCCAACTCCCCTTTAGACTTCAATTGCAGAAAGACTGCACCTTTCTTTATCCTTATTCCGTTCTGAGTTCTGAAACGCAGAATTTCGCGACCAGCACAGAGGCCCTCCTCGTTTGGGAGGATATTTCTGCAGAGATTTAGCTCGGGGAAAGCGTAAATGAGCATGTTGATGAAAGTATTTATACAAGAAAAAGGGAGATGCACAAGGAGATACTTTGATGAATAAGTGGGGCAAATCCTTTTTCGTTTTCGCTTTTCTCTAGGAAGAAGGAAAGAATGTGGGGCGAGTCTTTTTGTCAGCTGCGACTGAATGTTTGGGGTGCTTTTTCTTAGCTCCGCTTTTGCTTTAATGGCGATTGTGTGTGAGCTGTTGGTTGGATATTGTAAAGAAAGAATTAGGGGGCGCTTTTGTTATCTGCAACTAGTGGATTACTTTAAGGTGGGTTTGTTTATTGCCAAACAAGAGGAACCCCACTTGCTTTGCTTACATAGGAGGACTATTGACGAGGAAGGCTTGGCGAGAAGGGTGGATGCTACGTTCTCTGCTTTCCCGCTCTCCGACTGTTCTCGTCTTTTGTCATCATTGGAATTTAGGTGGCGATTGATTTAAAAATAAAAAATAAAATCAGAATGATTTATTTCATTAAATATAATAAAATAAATAATTGAATAAAAAAAATATTTATTTTTTTTAAGTTTGTCAATAATTTCACAAACAGAATAAACAGATAAAAAGTATCATTATTATATATCTTAAAAAATAATATTCGTCTATTTACTTATATATAACTACCAATTTTATCAATTGATTGTTTTATATTATATCAATTTATTTATTACATTTTATTTCATATTCATTAATGTCAACTTGTTTTGTTTTAAGTTTATGAGCCATGATTTTGGAAATGATCTTATAAGCAACACTACACAAGATACAACAACAACAACATATCTAATATATTCCCAACAGGATAATTAGTCTAAAATGACTCACTAATTCAAGCTTATTGATTTTAGAAAGAAGAGAGATTAGAGTGTGATTTATGAGTTTGGAGAGGTGCAAGAGGAAAAAAAAAATACATTGGTAGCGTGACAAAATAGAGTCAATAACATGCTAGAATTTTTTGAAGAAGTTCGATATCTTGTCAGGACTCATATGGAAAAAGTCATATTTGATCTCATTATGCTCCACACTTCTGGTCATATTCTGATTCATGGTGGTGGTAATTTTGGAAATTTCATAGAATAATTGGCTTTGTACAGATTTTACGGTTCTATTTTATAAGTAGAATACTTAAAAAACTATTAAAACCATTTTAAGGTGAATGAAAAATTAATTGTAAGTTGTATGTGTCATAATTGTAAGGTTGAAGCAATTAAGTTTAAGTAACTCAAATATTATTGAATTCACAAAACATTATTATTTGAGAATGTTAGGAAATCCAAATGAGACTTGTTTACGTAGTTTTCATGTTATAACTTTAAAAGGGTTAGTTGAGGACGAGTAAGAAAAACAGAACTCGATTTCGAGTCTGAATAAGCTCGTACGAGCTCGCGGCGCACAGTTGATCGCGGCCAGCAGAAGGTCGGGACCCTTGATGACCACAATGTGTCTTTTGGCCTCTAGACGCGTCCGTTTTCCTTCGGACACGTCCCAACAGGTATCTTTTGACACATAAATTTCATGAAGGTGTTTTCCTACATCTATAAATACCACAAACATAAAATAATTACTAACATAAAAAAATTAAGAGCTCTTGCATTACATCTTCAAAGTTCATAAAGCATATTGTGTTTTTTGATTTTTTTCAATGAGTTTTGAGAGTTCCAAACAATAGCATTGTTCGTCGAAGGTAACAAAATCCCTTCCAAATTCATTTCCCTGTCACTATCTGCCTCATCAGAGATTAGTGCATTTTGCAAAAACTCATGCTCGTCTAAGTTCATCTCAGTTGTAGTCATTGGATGTGTATAGTCTGCATCATCATCAAAATCTTGAACTTTTTTCTTAAGGGGTGTATTCAATTTCAACTCTTAGAGACTTTCGGAATTCTGGTGTATTCAATCAGAACTTTTAGAGATTTTTGAAAAGTTTACATGTATTCAATTGAGACTTTTAAAAAGTCCTTAAAAGTCTCAGGGTATTCAATTAAAACTTTATGAGAATCTCTATAAGTCATCATGTATTTAAAATATGAAGACATTGTGAGACTTTTAAAGACTTTTTAACAAATATTAATTTTGATATAAACCCTAATTTCTAAAGGAACACTAAATTCAGAAACATATTTCCATTCTTTCGAAATCCTAGGTCAAAATCCACGAATTATATTTAACAAATCGATCACTAGTTAATATATAATTAACAATGAATTCAAAATTCACAAACAAACAAATGTTCCCAGATCCCTATCGCCAAAGTTCGAATTTGAACGACGAGCAACATTTAAAATTTGGACAATAACAAATAAACAAATGAAGGTTGGGCATATATGTCGCTCGTGGCCGCTACAATGGGACCGCAATTTGTGAGCTCTTCACTGATTGAAATTCGACAACAATGGGACCACAATTTTAGTTGTTTTGAAAAGGAGAAAAAAATTTCGAAGTGTGGAAAAATTAGGTCACGAAATGATTTTGGGGAAGGAGTCCACGATGCATAGATTTCTTTTATGATTTTTATCACGACATTATTCAATATACTATGCCTGCCGGAATTTAGTCCGTAGGTTGAATTGACGGACACGATGACAAAATTGTGACCGCTGTTTTGTTTTGAGTTCCGGTTGCAAACATAAGACAAAATTAGATTATTCTTGTTATTTAAAAAGTTCGGTTAAAATTGTCAAAAGTAAAGTATAAATTTGTTTAGTGTTTTACTAGTAAAAATAATAACGGTTCTACACACTATCCCGTCGCCTCGCTTGAACGAGAAATTCCAAAGCAGCGGCTACTTTTCCCGTCTTCACTCTCAGACTGACAAATTCCGGGCAACAGCCGATGGGTACGTTGCAGAATCTGAGCCCAAACCCGTATCCGAATCGCAATATACTACCGCATTCGAACCCTACACCTAGCCCGAGCCCGAACCCAAATCCAGCTCCCGGATCAAAATCCCCTTCCTTTGAGGAGGTCTCCAAGTTCTTCTCACGTCCACTCTCCGACGCCGCCGACTCTCTTGGTACGTCTCGTTCACTATCTCCCAAGTTGTGGAACAAAACCGTGCTTGTTAATAATGCTAGCTAGCATAGGTTTCTTTTTTCGCAGTGGTGCAAGAAATGCTGGTAATCACTGGGCAAAATATTTTAATTGTTTGATGAAAACATTCATTAGAAGATGCTGTGCTGCTGTAGTGTTTCATGATCCAACTCACTCTCTAAATGGGTAGGGGAAATCATTGTACTCAAGTAATAAAATCAACTTTACATTTGGTGAGCTAACCAATTTTGTCAAGTGACTTGTGATAATATTAGCCAATTTTGTTAGCATCCTTTCTTGGATGCCTTTCGGGGTAAAGCTGACTCCTTTAAGATGCCTCAATCTGTGATGCCTTGATTGTGGGGAGGTTAAAAAATTACTACAACTATTGTTATTGTCTGTCGTTATCAATATCATTATTCTTAACTTTTGTTTGAACTTTGCAAAGTTTGGTCTAGCTCTTGCAGCCACCTTTACTTCATCAGTTTCTTCCATATGTATGCTTTGCTGGGACTGAAAACTCAGGAATTTTCATTGTACAGGTACCTGTCCTAGCGTTTTGAAAAAGGTCTGCTATGACAATGGTCTTGTACGGTGGCCGTATCGAAAGGTAAGATTATCTACAATATACTTTTGTGTTTGACCACTATTACAACCTTTTGAAACTCTACGGCTCTAGTTTATCTCAACATTAGGAATAAATTTGAGGAGCTGTATTACATTGACCTTTGACTGAGTTTTCTTGGTCTGTGTACTCGTGATTTATTGTTGTCGACTTTGTTGATAATTAGAAGTCTAGAACTGATGTCTTCTAATATTTGCATGTTTTGGTGCAACTCAAAGTTCGTAACTGAGGGCTGTGAGTTTTGTTTGAATTGATTGGACATGAGTGAATAGGAAAATTATAATGAACTGATGGATGTATTAATTGATCCTTATGTAGCACTAGGTAGCCTGTCCTGTAGCTGTGAGGCCATTTTGGTGATGGGTGAGCTACAGGACTAACTATGTAAAAGCTCTTGAGGCCATGACCTTTTTTTTTTTTTTTTTTTTTTGTATATCTATATATAGGCTAGGAGTGACTCTCTTTTTATGTATTTACTTATTTATATGCAAAGACTGATATATTAGGATTTAAAACTTAATGTAACCTTTTATATATAAGATGTTTATCCTGGCATCTGGGTGTCTTATGATTTTAATTATTTATTTATTTATTTGGCATAGAAATGAAATTGCCATTTGGCTGGGATATCTACCGGGGAGGCAGTGCATATTGTTTTGGGTGTTCTGTAGACTATAGTGGATCATCAAACTTTTATGGTTTGCAGAGATCTGTGATGGCAACTGCACCATTAATGTTTAAGATCAAGATGTTTCTCATCTACTTATATTATAATGTTCCCCAAATCACCCTATTTGTTTTCTAATGGGACAAGTGTTACAACTACTGGAAAACCTTTAGTTTTGTTTTGTTTGAATATACTTATTTACACATTGCTTGTGCATTTTAATAGCAGATAAATGATACTTACTCAATAATTTTTTTTGGTCCTGTTGCATACATGCAATTGATTTTCTTTGACTGTGTTCCCGAGGTGGGTAGGTGGGTGGGATTGGGTTTTTAGGTGAATTAGCTTCTCTTGCTAGATTCAGATTCACGTTTTATTATTAGTTAACTACTTAACTTAGAAATCTTTGAATCGGTATTGGTTTTGATGTTATAAAGTGCAGCCGCATTTCTCATGTTCCATCATTGAGTAGGAGAATAATCAGTCGGTTGCTGAATCATTTACCAAATGTGCTGGTTCTGGAGGTTGTAACGTGGTGTTTCATGAATTGTTGATAGATTGATGAACAGAAACCTGTGAGTTGAACTTTGACATGATCGTCATTATTATCATACATGTTGAGTCATGGCTTGTGCATATCTTCAGTGTATTTCGTTGTTCAATACATTTTAATATCCAGTTTTAGAGTTCTTTGGTTTGTCACTAAAACAATAATTTGAATTCAACGAATCAATCTACCATTGGTGTAGGACCTCTATAAAACAAATATCTCTCTTGATGATTCTTTATTTTAATGATGGAAGAAACAATCATATCTTAATATATATTATTTGGTGCTGATCAAACTGTCTGAAAATTTATGTGTGCCTACAAGTTCACAATATCAGCCTAATACTTTTCCAATCCGCTTGACACGTATAGTTTCTCGCTGGAAAAAGCATTGAAGAAATTAAGAAGGATGCTGCACTAGAAAAAGAGAAGCAACTTGCTGGCTTGAAAGTTGTTGGGCAAAGGAATGTTTCTTTGGCAGTATCACCTTCCATGTAAGTTTAACATGAGGATTTGCCTTGTCGTGTTGTTGGTGTACTCAAAGGAGGCTAATGTAGTCTGATTTTCCTATTTGTGGAATTTTGGGTACACATTTGCAGTGTTAAATCTACTGCATTGAAATGCTGACTATAAGTTTTGTGTGAAATTTTGTCACTTTGCCTAACATCTTTTACATGTTCATGGGTGTTTTGCTTGTATAGAGGCCCTCAAGTTCGGAGCTCAACTACTGGCTCTTTACAGGGAAGTCCAACTTTACGATCACTCACACCACCGCCAACCATCAATAACCGTTCTGGAAGTTCCCATATAAATAGCCCAGCCGCGAACAACACAAATTCTCCCCTCTTGGATGAGTTCAAATATGGGTTCCCATCAGATGGCTTATCAAGCATCTCATACAAATGGTGGGGAAATAAGAGTGCTGATGAAAATGCTGTTGATATTGAAAAAGGCAGCAGTAAAGATGCTACTGATAAAAGTGCGCAACAACCGAATAAGGACTCGGAGAATAATACTAATTCTGCTAACTTGGCATCAACCGAATGGGCAAGTTCACTCACTGCTTTGAGAAGTAAAGCAGCCAAAGAGGGGCAACGAGCTTTGAAACTCGGTGTTTACAGAGGATACAGTGCAAAAACCCTAGATCGTGCCAAAAAGCATGCGCTCCTTCAGGTATTCAAATCATCTTTGCCCGGGGAATGGGGAGAAATGTCTGTGGATATCTGAATGCACGAAATGGGCTTTACGTTGGTGCAAACTCATATCTTGTAACATTTTTTTTTGGTTTGTTTGTGGATCATGCGTGTGTTGAACTTGAGAGGGCAAGTGTGTAAAAGANCCAGCAGCTTCATAGTCTGCTTTTAGGATGATGATGATTTCACTGCTGAAAGTCTTGTTTAGTTGGCGCCCTGTAAAAGGGAATATGGTGTCATCTTTTGTGCTTCTTGATGTTCTTTGGGCATCTGAAATGGCCTCTTTATTTTAAATTTTTTTAGTATCAAAATATAATTAAATTAGATATATTATTTTACACATATTTAGGGGGCGATTGGATATAGATTGTACAGTAAAAAAATCAATCAAAACTCAAATTTAACTCAATTTTAACTCAACTCTGCTATCTCCAATATTATCAATACAATTAAATAATATCAACAAATCATTCTTACACATCACATCAACTTTAATTCACTATTCGTCCACTCACATAATTTTAACTAACCATCACTTCAATCATTTTCTCCTACTTTTATATCAAACCAATTTTAATTATTTTATTTTAAATACTATTTTAATATATCTACTAACAACTAACCATACCACATTTTTTAAAACTTAATTATAGTTAAAAAAATTAATTTTTTACTAGTTGAATTCATATCCAATTACCCCCTTATTTATTTAAATTATCATCATACAATTGATAAAATAAATATAACAATATTATATAAAAATAACTTTATTTACTAAAACATGTATATGGTATTTACTAAAATATTAACTAAGTTTGAAGAGAAAATTCAATTTATAATCTAAGCCGTAGATTAAATTATAGTTTTTGGTATTTATTTCTACACACTTTCTTAAGAAAGCATATTACTTCATCTAAAAGAAAAAAAAATCAGTGTTAAAATTATATTATAAATTTAGTGGTATTTATTAATATATATTTTGTCAAAATTATAAATTAGTATATATAATAGAAAAAAAAAAGGAAAAACAATCTGTATATTTTTAATAATATAATTGAACAATGGAATTAGAAGACCAATGCACAAATTTGTCACCAAACACACACGCAGCTAATTATTTGCACCAATGTTTGAAGCCAAATTTATAACACACTGTTTGAAGCAAAATTTATAAATGCTTCAAAATTTTTAAATATTTTTAAATTTATTTCATATGAGGTGAGATAATAATAACTTGAGAGAATTTAAGTCCTTTAACTTACTTATTAAACTAATTCCATAAGAATGTCAAAATTTACTGAAAAAATTACCTATCTAAATTGTTATTTTTCATTTTCTAAATTATTAAATAGTAAAAAATAATAAATGTAAATATAAACTATACTATTTATGTATAGATTATTATATAGACTGCATAAAATGTAATAAATAATATAATTTTTATAATTTTAAAAGGATTGTAACCAATTATTTAGTTTCAAAAAATAAAAAAAAACATTATAGAAATTATTTATGCAATTTTAAGGGTTGGCTAGGAGCTATATAAAAAACCGCTTAATGAGATAAAAAAAAAACTAATATTAATTTCAAAATAAATAATTGAAGGCAAAGTTATTGGTATAATTTTTTTTATAAGTGTATAACTCTTATAAACTTTTTCGTGTGAATTTACAATTAATTAATATTCGTAGTAATTGTAAATTTATAATTAGTTAATATTAGTAGTAATTATTATATAATAGAACAGTTAAAAAAATATAACTACACTTAATTAATACAAAATTTAATGGTCAGTTTTCATAATTAAATAAAAAAAAAAAGAAAAACAAAAATAGCATTAATTAAATAGCCTACAACTACATATATATAGATATCAAACTTTATTTAAAATAATTTACCTATCTAAATCGTTATTTTCAGTGTGTACTCTGCAAATTAACTTTTGAGAATTACTTTTCAAAATGTACATCTAAGATGTTGTTTTTCTAGTCTTATTTGTAATAATCGAACTATTTAATTTTATTAATTTAAGAAAGAAATGTTGTCAAAGCAAACATAACGTGTGAAGTAAATTATTTTGGTAAGATTTTTAGCTCCTACATTACAACTTAATTCTTCTAAGTTATGAATTTAATGAGATTAAATGAGGAAAGAATAACCGTAATGGAAATGCTACTGATAGCGAAAAAGGCAGCAGTAAGATGCTACTGAAAAAAGTGCGCAACAACCTAATAAGGACTTGGAGAATAATACTAATTTTCAAGGCAAGAAGAACAAAATTGCTGAGACAGATATGGTGTCATCTTTTGTGGCTCTTGATGTTCTTTGGGCATATCAGAGCATCTCCAATGGTAAAATATAGTTGTAGTAAATTACACTTTTTATTAACAAATTTAGCAATGTCTTCACTTTTAATCTTATAATGCATAATGTAATCACATATATTGTGATGAGGTAGACATAATTAATGTTCACAATGTAGAGAAGAATGTGGTTCATCTACATTCTCTTTCACATTTTAATCAACCAATTAAGAGATGAGAGAGAAATATTATTACCATTTTCAAAATGTCTAATTATTTAATTTTTATTGTTTCTTATTTATATATATTTTTTTTGTCAAGTGGACAATATTATGCTTGTTCACATTGTGCATTGTAGATAATTTTTTAGTTTTAAAGTTGTGAAACTTAACAAATATTTTATGTAGTTCACAATCCATCTAAATAATTAATATTTGTCAAAATTTATGTGATAACAACATTTATGCATTGGAGATGCTACGAAAGCTAGCAATGTGGAGTATCTATCACCTCAATATTCCATTTGCTCTAACATAATTGATACTAATCTTTTGGTTGATCTAGGATTTCTAATAATATTTTTATATTATCATTATTGTGATACTTTTCTTCTATTTCGAGTTGACTACCAAAAAGTACTAAGCCTGTTAATCCAATCTAACAGTCTCGATTGTTTGAGAATATTTTTTAAAATGGACATTTATGAAAAAATCTTCTCATTCTACTAAGGTCTTAAGGAGCAACGAATGAAACTATTTTATTGATCACAAAGGACAAAACAATGTAAGAAACATAAAATAAACCAACTAACAAAATTATAGGATCTCAAAATATATGTTACGAGGCACTTTATGTGTAAGTTGCTCCGCAGCACGAGACCTTGCTTCCTCTTCTTCCTTGATAATTTCATGCCGAAACGCACCATTATAGCGGAATGCTTGCTGATAAGTAGACGACCAAGGTTTGCGTGGATCGATAACAATATTTTGCAGTAAAGCAGCATTCTCCATGAAATGCATAATAAATTCGAGGTCACTTACCTCACCACAATATCCCTCAAACTTTAACTCCTTGAGGTGAGGATATAAACTCACAACTTTTTCCATCTTCCTCTTGACAAACTTTGGTTCACCACGATATGCCTGCAAATAAATCAAGAGAATAACTTCAACAATAGCCAAGACTTCTCAAGAGGGTGTTTGGTAATGTATTTAGAGAAGACACAGCAAAAGCTGCCAATAGAGGATGTATGAGCTTATAACATATGATTTCTGTAGAAAGTAAAAGTTTCCATCGTATGTCGAAAACAAGATCTTAAAATTTATATTTTATCAGCCCCATTTAGTCCAACTAGTTTAAATATACATGTAATGAGTTCCACCATCTTATTTTCCTGTACACATCAACATAGCAAGTTGTAAGTTGAGCAAGTGAACCATGTGGTTTCAGTCATCACGTCTTCACGAGGGTACACATTCAAAATTGTTCATAAATATACTAAGATGAACAAGTCAAATTTGGGAAGATAATCAATGAACCGTAGTTAAAGACTTAAAAGTATCACTAATTGCATGAGGGGACCTGCAACTTGAAACCAACAACTTGAAACCAACGTGACAAGGAGAATTCTAAAACACAATTACGATTACCTACCTTTAGTACAAAACTTTGCAAGAAAGGTGACATGCAAATTAAATTAGCCAGCTGCAAAAGAGAGTAGCCACCAGTCACCCCAACGTTCACCACTAATTGCTTGAGACTGCTCATTTTTACATTGGAGTAGAACAATTTAGGGTGCTGGGGAGTATTTCAAGAAAAGGAGGGAGATAAGTCATTAAAAGTCATCTGATTTATTATAAAGTCGAAAATAATACAAAAAACAGGTATTGCAACCTTACCGCCCAACAATGCACATTTAAAATATCTAGCTTGAGCCGCTCTAATTTTGGGAGGTAGGTTGAAAGCAATTGTAGGACAACTTCCCTGTGTTCAGTGATCAATCCCCCAATGCAAGCATCAACAAGTAGAGGAACATTCTCAAGAAAAAAACGTACACTTGAGCCATAGTACGTCAGATGAACAATATTTACATCACGAATCTGAAATGACTGAAGCTTGTGGCATAAGTATATCCCCACACGTTTCAAGGATGGCAAAGGTCCAGTTATCTTCAGAATCTTGAGTTCTCCAGATTGTGCAACAGATAAGTCCTCAAGGAGAGGACATATGCGTAAGATGAACTCCAAGGCTTCACCATTCACGTTCACATAATTCAAAGACAGCCTTTTCAGGTACTTGAAATCAGCACCCGAGTTGCAAAACAAAAGCTCATATGGAAAATCATAGCACTCATTATATGTGCGGCTTTTGAAGCAAGCATTGTCTGTCAAATTCAACTCGAGCCTCTGAACCTTCTTGGCCAGAGCAAATCTAAGCCATTTATCGATTGAACTTGTGTAAGTTCTACTTAAGTTGAAGAATACACGGAGTTCGTCAATGGTGGATTCTTTATGCGATACTATGGCACGATCGACCCACGTGACGTAATTCAGCCTCGCTTTATCGAGGTTCAAACTCAGTTTTCCTACAGAAAAAACCAGCTTCACTAGTGATTGCAAGCCATCAAAATCTAGGGTTCGTGAGAAGGTCCACAAGTACCTCCACCGAAGAGAAAGTATGCTAGCAGCAACAACTTCCCTAAAAGTCAAGTGGCACATTATAGACAACAATATATCATCGGATAGAATGCTTATTCTGTCGATCAGACGATGTTGATCCCCACACTGCAAATTCAACACACAAGAAACTCCAGTCTCAACCCACAAAATCAGTTATCACGACAGAAAACAAGGAAAAAAAAAAAATTACACAAGTTTAATTGGAATTAAAGATTGCAACTTTCCCATTCATTCTCTTTTTTATTGAATGCGTGCAATAACCGACGAACCCTTGCAAAGCAGGGGTTTAAGACAACATAGCATCTCATCAATCTCGCAACAGAAATGTAGAATCGAACAAGCAACTGTAAGGAGAGCAAGTACTTACTCCATTATGGACTACTCTTCTTCTTCGTTGCTCCATTATAACCGATAAAGTTGCAACTTTTAACAGCAGAAAAATGTGAACATATATGACTGAGTTTGATAAGTGACTGTTTGTTGAAGGTTGGAAAAGGGATAATCAATCAATGGAAAAGGAAAAAGTATGATTTATGAAGAAGGGTGGAAAAAGGTATAATCAATCAATGGAGAAGGAAAAAGTAAATAAAACCTTTCAATTCAACTGTCCAACCTCTATTTTTATTACTTTGAATCCCTTTTGATTACTTGGGATTACTACGGTTGAGCAAATGGTGTGGGGAAAAAAAAAATTGAAAGCCCAAGGGTGAACATGGATCAGCGAAGATTTCTGAATATCTAAAGTCATATTAAAGTTTGTACATCACTAAATTCAATTTTTAGAACCTTAAAAAAATTCAGAATGGTGTGCTTCAAAATTGGGACTATTTGTACCAATAATAATAATAATAATAATAAAAAAAAAAAAAATTGGCACTATTGGAGCAATAGAATCGGAGTTACATAGATTTATAATTATTTTACAATTTTTTTTTCAAACTTATACGTAGCAATCCACAAGACATATAAATAATATAATGTTAAATGCGTAATTTTCTTCCGTTTAGCTCCAAAAACAATAGGATTCATCATATATTTTCCACCTTTCTAATCAGTATTTTTTTTAGCTACAACGCTAGTGCTAGGGTTAGCTTGTAAGTTAATTAATATATCATCCCGTCAAAATGTGTATATTAATATAAATTTGATTTTAGTATATATATATTTATATATATAAAAAAGATAATCAATTTATTTATTCTTATTTACCATATAATACTTATTTAGTGTATTATTCTAAAATTTAATTTCATATAATATCATTAAATATTATCTATAAACGTCGCATAAGTAGTCTTCTAATTTTTATTTTATGCAATGAAAAATATTTAATGTATGTTAATATTATTTATTAATGTAATTAATATAAGATCATGTAAATACACTTAAAAGAAATTATTGTGTATAAACAATTTACAAAATATACTCACATGAGGTTCTACACAATTTTTTATATTTATCGTATCTTATAAAAATATGTCATTAAGCTATAATGGTATTTATCGTAAACCAATGCCATCCCATTTCTTAGGGATAAAGCAGCACTGAATTCGGTGACACGTTTGGGCGTGCATGACTTGAGCAAAGTGAACAGATGGATCGGGTGGGAGGAACCTCCTTTGGGTTAGATTAAACTAAATTCTGATGGTTCTTTTAATCTTGAAACAAGGATGGCTAGCGCAGGTGGCCTTCTTAGGAATTGTAATGGTATTTTTCTTGGTGGGTTTGTAATGAATATTGTTTTCATTACCATTATGGGAGCGGAGTTATGAGGATTGTTCTAGGGCCTTCAATTGGCTTGGGATCTTGGTTATCGACGCGTGATGGCTAATGTTGATAGCAAGAGTGTGGTGGATTTGACTTTGGGCCAGGATACCTCGCTGGGAGTGCATGGTAGCCTTTTACGGGTTATCCGAGATATGATGGGATGGAGTTGGAGATTAGAGTTGCGACATGTCTTTAGAGAATTTAATTTCTTAGCGGATTTTTTAGCTTATTTGGCCGCAACTCCTCCAGATGGCATGCAATGCTTCGAAGTTCCACCAGTTGGTTTGAGACCTTGGTTAGAACATGATATGTTTGGTGTAGCCTACTCTCGTAGAGTAGCGACGTAGTTCCTTTTGTTTTATCCCTTCTTTCTACCAAAAAAAAAAGTGCACGAAATATACAAGTAATAATAGAGAAGGGGAAGATTTAGAGAAAAAACTTGACACATTTTTGGATCTTTTAGGTGGATCTCATATTTTCTGTTTTCTATAGTTCAGAATGTCTTCAGGAGTCCTTCAGACAATGGTCTCCTCTTAAATACAGATCCTTCACTCTTCAAGGGTAGAAAAACGTTGTGACAAATGATGGATAAATAAAAGAAAAATGCTACAAGTACATAATAAATATACATCAAGGTGTACATAACATTCACATGGAGTGAGATCCACTTGATTTGTTATTTTTAGTAGGACCCACTTTACTTGTAGCATTTCTCTAAATAAAAAAGGTATCCTAAAAGTGGTTTATTCAAGCCTAGAAATAAATCCAAGGGGAAACTCCTATGTTTAAATTCCACAATAGGATCAAAAGCATAAGAATTGCTCTGCTTGGAGCTGAAACTTTAGGACAAAAAATTCTACCAACATCGAGCAACTCAGCTTGCAATTGGAGAAGTTAAAAAACTTGGAGGAGACAAAAACTGGAATTTATGGGATTCCTCGAAAGCCAACTAGATGAGGCTCTTACTCAAGAACAATATTACTGGAGTCTGGAGGCAAAAATTAAGAATCCAATGGCTAAAGGAGGGACACAAAAATACCAAAATTTTCCATGCCTTCAGCATGTGATCGAACACAATTGTCAGGCTGTTAGTGGGGGATTCTAGGATTTGTGAAAGAAAAAATCACAAAGTTTTATACATACCTTTTTCAATTTGAGGGCTTTTGTGGAGATCTCATTGTCCTTAAACTTATTCCTTAATCCATCTCTCTTGCAATGAATTGTGAAATAGTGTATGTGGTGAAGGAAGAGGAAATCAAAGATGCACTCTTCAGCATGAATACCAACAAAACTCCGGACTGATGCTGATAGCCATCAAGCCAGTGTGCTCCTAAAACTACTTAGAACTTATCAGTTGATTTCTGGGCAAAAGGAGAGTTTAGGAAAATCCTACATATTCTTCTTTTGCATTACCCAGCGAATGTTTAAACTGCAATTAGTAATATTTTGAATAGTATCCTCGTTCATAAACCATCTAGATACATATGTCTTCCTATGGCCTTGGTAAGTCTAATAGGAGGTTTTCAATTTTGTGATTGAATCTATGAGGACACAAATTAATATTTAAACTTGTGTCATTTAAATTTATATTTAAATTTGAACTAAAGCAATTATGTTGTCATATTCTCTATAAACAAAATCAAGAATAACAATGACTACTAAAAATCAAATCAAGACAAAAGCCAGATTTGTGAAACACAGTAAATTAAATTCTAAATTTGCTTTTCCCTCTTTGGCCATTGCCTGCTAACTGCTAAGTTGACTGTTCCTCATATTCAATTCTCCATTTTAATTATTCTTATTCTTTTAGAAAAATGCTAAAATTCCATTACGGAACTATTCTGTTGGGATTTATAACCGTTAGATCATCAAGTAACCGTCAATAATAGTTGATCTAACGGTTACAAATCCCAACGGAATGATTTCGTAACGGGTTGTTTTTAATTTTATAACTATTCTCTTCCTTCTATTTTCCTCTTTACGCATTCCCCTTTTGTTTTTTCACTTTTCTTTTAAACGGTTTTATATTCATCCCTGCTATAAATGCAGTCTTCTGTAAATTTTACACTTGCATTTCCTCACCCTTGCTTTTCCCCTCTCTCTCTCTCACTGGTTTCCTCCATTGCAAACCAAGCATTCTTTACAGCTTTACTGATGTGCCTCTTTCCACCACATTCACACAACCCCACCTACCATTTCACCCAACTCTGCCTTTTCGTACATATCTCACAACTCTAATTCTTCCACCATTTGGAAACCCAGAAAAAAAATTCAAGAAAAATAAAAGTTGCAAAAAAGGAACTCCGTATAAAGGTCAGATTTTTGTCTGGCATTGTTTCATAACTTGTTGCTTTGTTAATTGCACCATTAGCAACACTATTATTGTTATTATTGTTTTCTAGAATTCGTTTTGGCCCACCGCACACTACAAGCCTTCAAAATTACTCTTCTTTCAGCTGTTTAACTTCCATTTTCCTCAACTTTTTTTTTTCTCTTTATTTCATTTTTCTCAGTTTTTCTTTTGCTGGGTTTTTGGTATTTCGTCCCTGCATTGGCATATCTATGCTCGTTGGGCCTCTTTCGAGAGAAAAAGGTGACATTTTCCGCTTCTTGTGTTTCTCAAGGAAGACGATCAACACGAAGGTGGGAGCTTTCCTTTCTACTTTACCATGGACTCGGAATTTAGTTCTCTGTTTATTGTTTCCATACCTGGTTGATAAGTCATGCTTCTCCTAATTTTATTCCTAGCCGAAGTGTAGAGTTTTGGGTTTCTTTAAATGGGGTTTAGATTGTGATTTGATTTGATATACGATTTGTAGATTAAATGGGGTACCCTCTTCTTTCCATAACAGATATTGTTATGGTTGAAATGCCGCTGTCAGTTTAGCTAGTTGCTATGTCTCCAAGTTGAGGTTTCAATGCTTAGCCTGCTCATACGTGTGGCCGACTTTTCTCCACACAGTTAACTGTACAGCACTAGTTCAACTCAATCCAATACGGGCTAACTTGGAGTAGTAGGCTTTTGCTTGTGTTCTTACACACATTCCCATTCTTTTACTAATATAATGTGTTTTTGTATACAGGGTCGAATGGATTAATCCATTTCCGGAACTTACGTCACATTCAGCTTCTACCTTATGCTCAAATTTCAAAGAAAAAAAAAATGTCATCCGGAACCTTAAACACCGAGCTATCCAGGAAATACGGTGATCTCAAACTATGGGTTTTAATCTGCATATGCATGGGTGCATTTATAGTCCTTATTTTCGGTATATTGTCCATATGGATCATGTTCCAACGTAAATCAAGAAGAAGAACACTGGGCAACTACTCCCACTGGCAAATTCCTAACGTCTCGAAAGATATTACAGTAGATAGAGTCGGGGACCAGAATGCACACGATGACCCGGATAGCTTGTACCCAACCATTAACGATAAATCAAGTGAGAAAAATACGGAGAAGACAATAGTTCATATAGGCAGGACCAAATCAAGCGATGCAGACAATATAAGTCAGTGCAGTTCAATTTATCATCATGAGAGGACCTACAGTTCTCAGTCGGGCGAGGAAGGGAGTTCAGGCAAAGCAAGAAAACAGTCCTCGATTTCTTACGGGATGGCCATGGCCTCGCCTTTGATTGGCTTGCCTGAGGTATCTCATCTTGGGTGGGGCCACTGGTTCACTCTTAGAGATCTTGAAATTGCGACTGCTCGTTTTTCGTCTGATCATATTATTGGGGAAGGTGGTTATGGTGTCGTGTACAGGGGTAGGTTGGTAAATGGGACTGATGTGGCGGTTAAGAAGCTTCTTAATAATCTGTGCGTATTCTGTTCTTATTTCCAGCATTTTTTTTTTTCCTTTTTTTTTTTGANGAAGCTTCTATGGGTGTTGTTTGTTGGTTGAGTGAGTGACAAACTGAATTTGCAGTGGTCAAGCAGAGAAAGAGTTTAGGGTTGAAGTCGAGGCTATCGGTCATGTTCGGCATAAGAATCTTGTACGGCTTCTTGGCTATTGTATAGAAGGAGTTCACAGGTTAATATTGGAACAGTTTTCCTGTTGCACCTCGTTCTTTTGTGAAGATTTTCCCTTCTCAATGGAATTCCCCTATTTTTTTTTATGCATTTATGCTAAAAGATATTCCATGATATGTGTGCAGGATGTTGGTGTATGAGTATGTTAACAATGGAAATCTGGAACAGTGGCTTCATGGGGCTATGAGTCAACATGGGACCCTCACATGGGAAGCCAGAATGAAAGTTCTACTTGGTACAGCAAAGGCGTAAGTGAATATTCTACTACAAAGCCAGAATATTGATTTTTACAATCAATATTCATTATAAAATAAAATTTATAAAGTTTTGTTGTCTTGGAGAATTATGGGGCAGACCTTTGAGTTTTGGTACCATCAAATGGGAAGTTTTTTCATTTTACAAGATGACAACTTTTATTTATCATATCCTTATGCAAAAGTTTTGGCTAAAAGTTTGATTACCGTTTAGAAATGAAGTTTCATCCACTGCTGATCTTGCAGGCTCGCTTATTTGCACGAATCTATAGAGCCAAAAGTCGTACATCGTGATATTAAATCAAGCAATATCTTGATTGATGAGGAATTCAATGGAAAAGTATCCGATTTCGGTTTGGCTAAGCTGCTGGGGTCCGGAGAAAGTCACATAGCTACAAGAGTGATGGGAACATTTGGGTATGCATGTGCTTTTCCACCATTCCCTTTCCTTCAATCTTAAACTTTCTCTCTTCAAAATCCATTTCCAGCTCAAAATTTCACTCCTTTTGTGGATTTTTCAGTTATGTTGCCCCAGAATATGCAAACACAGGATTATTGAATGAAAAGAGTGATATCTACAGTTTTGGCGTTCTACTACTGGAAGCTGTTACCGGTAGAGACCCAGTAGATTACAGACGTCCAGCGAATGAGGTATGCAAATTAACTTTTATCCATCTGGTAATTTTAATTTTTTTTGGTTCTAATTTAAATTCTTGGTAATGATGCATCATAAATGTGACTTTTTGTGGCAGGTTAATCTTGTAGAGTGGCTCAAAATGATGGTGGGGAATAGGAGGGCTGAGGAAGTTGTGGACTCCAACCTCGAAGTTAGGCCAACCATACGTGCGCTAAAACGTGCATTACTGATCGCGCTTAGGTGTGTCGATCCAGATTCGGATAAACGGCCCAAAATGAGTCAGGTTGTTCGAATGCTCGAGACTGATGAGTTTCCTTATCGGGAGGTGAGCTTCGATTCCATATCTGATTTATTTTAGCTAATGCTCGTTAATCACCGAGTTTTTCGCACAAGTCTTTTGAAGTAACATTTAATCATAAAAACAAACAAGTATGTTTTTTCACCTGGATCCAAAGAACAATGTGAAATCTGTTGAAATTACTGATTAAAGAAATATCACTTCTCAATGTTCCATTTCTCTTTTTTTTTTTTTTTCATNTTTACACGCAGGATCGTAGGAATAGGAAAACCAGAACAACGAGCATGGAAATCGAGTCAATGAAGGAGGCCATGAGCGTTTCAGCCGAGACAGAAACGGGAGTGGAGAAATCAGAGAGCCATACGTTCGAGACAGTAGATAGAAACTGACAGAAGGCACATGACTCAAATCATTATTATTTTTCTTAATAGGTCCAAGTGAAAGAAAAGTTTCATAACCATTTTTTGTTTTAAATCTGTTCCAGTGAAGATTCCTTCTTTCATGATTTGGGAATGTGGTGGCCCAGTTCGGAATCTTGAAATCACGGCCAGACAAGTCATTTAGAGCATCGATTGTCATCTAGCTCAGAAAACGAATGAAGAAAAATAAGGAGTGTGAATATGGTGTTGCACATGAGTATGGCAGATCAAAGGTGTTATTTCAGTAACATTATTGTCTCTCTCCTTTTTTCCATTTGGCAATGTCTTGGTTTTAACACAGGATGGTGTTAGGTTGCTTTTGTGCTAGGCTGACAAGCATTATTACATAAATTATTGGCAAAACTTTCGCATTGCATTTTAAAGTATTTACATTTTCTGCTGGTTTTTTCTTGGCAATGTGTAATGTTCTTTGCCTTCTTAGCCCCTCAAATGCAGATTGGCCGTAGATCGACTGGAAACGCATTGTTCTAAAGGATATTAGCACGGCTTCAAGATGTTTCCTTGAAAAGAAATACTGGGTGAGGGCACTGCGTCGAATATTTTCTTGAAAAGTGAAATTACAAAAGAAATAAAAAAGAATAAATAAAAAAAAAAAATGGGTCCTTTGTCCTTAATACTGACATTGATTATTACAAAAGAAAAGAAAACAATGGTAATGATTGGTCAAATTTCTAGCTGGTGTGGGGTCTTATTCTGAACTTTTGAGAAGCTAGGACAAATAACACTGTCATTCATCATTGAAAATATTCTATGACCAATGGTACTTGTCTTCTTGAATGTGAGGTTTATCTTATGAAGCCATATCAGTTAAAACATGGGCAAAGGTGAGTGAGACTGAGCACCTTGTACAATACAGCGTCTGAATTCGATTATGTGTCTTTTAGTCTCAATGACATTTATCCATGTTCAACTGTTCATCTGCCTGGAGCTCAACGGCTATCTATATATCTATAATGAGGGGTCATGTACAGTTTTTTGCAGTTATCTTGTATTTACACTACCACCACAATATCCATTATCCATATATGATTTGTGACCTAGCAGAAACAACGTTATCAATTATGATAGAGGTGAAAACAATTCGAAAAAGGTTTGAAATTCGTCTTGTTCCAATACTTACTCTATTTTTATGAACCGGTCTGGACCATGTGGGTTGAAAATACTTAACATTATTTTTCAGCTAAAATAAAAATTAACCTCATGAAATATTCATCAAACACCAGTTCATTATTACCCATATCAACTCATCAACAACAAAGTTCTTATAAAGGGTACAAAATATATAAAGTCAATTAAGATAAAATTCACATATTATAATTATTTTACCATCAAGCGAAAAAAAAAGTACAAAATGTATTGTTGTGTTAGATTGTATATATGTATATATCTTATACACCTGTAATTAGTCAGTTAACATATGTTGTAATTATTTAGTTTCCATGCTTATCTAATAACTCTAAAACTGTTGACTTTATATACGACTCTTCAGCCAATTTTGATCATCACGATTTGGATGAATAAGTTACTGAAAACTTCTCGTAACATGGTATCAGCTTACTTCCTCTCGACTGTTTTTTTTTTTTCATGGACGTTTCGTCTTCGTCACGGCGTCCGACGAACCATGTCCTCGTATGATATTTGTTCTTCTGATAACCCCGATTTATTGGTCGCTCATGTTCAATTGAAAGGAGATACTAACTATGATAAATGGGCTCGTAGTCTTGTGGACAATCCTAGGTGCTCGAGAAACACTCGAATTTGCATGATGATTGGCTTGCTGATGTAGAAAAACGTAGAATGAGAAGGATAAACGAGATACTCTCTCGTAAAACACACAAAACTCACAATATATGATACAATCTCAAAATTCACCACCCCCATAACAAAAGAAGAGAGAGCTTTAAATAAGACACCTAAACATAAAACCTATCTTGTTCACCAAGTCACTAAATATATATAAATATTAAATGCTAATATTAATAATATATTAATTAATCTACCAAATATTTAAATACCAAAAAGAATAGATATTATTCTGCATCATTCTCCTCCGGTTGAGGAGGATTCGCCCTCGAATCCAACCCGGTCTCGTTGAAAATGTTCCCATGACAGGAATTGTTCGACGTTTTCCCCTATCGAATACGAACGTTGAATGTCGCATATGTCTGCAAGGCCGCAACAAATTCATGTGGAAGAAAAGCTCGGGCCAACGCACTAGGTAACCTACCAATTCTTCCAGAACCATCGGCACGTCGTCAAGAGCACCAACATCATAAAACTTGACGTCAATCTCGTCCGGACTAACGAGGCTCGAAACAAACGATCTTTCGTAAGAATCTACAACAAGATACAGAAGCCTATCAAAGTCTCCCATCTCGACAATAGTGCCCTTGTTCAGGTCGCATCCTCCATCATGAGCAATGGATTTACAAAATTCATCATTAACATCCACGCCCTGTGAGGCCACAACACGATTACCATCGATCGTCACGATGAATCGCATGGTGTCGCATATGCTCGGGATACTCCGTCTCTCCATGTGCGTAATGTCCACATCAGGCTGAGGCTCCATAAAGAATTCCTCCGGCCCCGGATGCTCCTCATCGAAAATTGGCAGACCATTGTAGAGACCGTCCACTTCCTCAAAAATCGCACTCTGTTGCCGCACATCTTGGTCGTCGTGCACAACAATGAGCTTAGTCCATGCGCAGTACCGCACATCTTGGTCGTCGTACGCCGGAGTTTGAGCCCATGCATAGTGCCTGCACTTCTGATACCAAAGAAAGACAATTCCTGGCGTATGTACGTGGACAACCGGGCAATCAACAAGATCACGGTCCGGTATCGTTTTCCCATTTCGAGGTTGGATGACTTGTTGGATCAGCTTCACGGTGCTACCATCTTCTCATTTTAGCACGATTATGGCGCCGATAACTGACTGTCTTACTGGGAAGTCTTTTGCGTGGACCCCTGCTGCTGAGGATGCTTTTGCTCTTATTAAGAGCAAGTTGACGTTTTGTCGGATTTTTCAAAGCCGTTTGAGCTTTCGTGTGACGCTTCGAAGGTGGGGATTGGCGCGGTGCTCAGTCAGGACGGTCGGTCGGTCTCGTTTTTTTAGCGAGAAACTGTCGGGCCTGAGGACGCATTACAGTACATATGATGTGGAGTTCTACGCCGTGGTTCGGGCGGTCCGGCATTGGCGCCATTATCTCTTTCATCGAGAGTTCATACTGTATACTAACCACGAGGCGTTGCGTGATCGTGCATTTTATAGTGATTTTCGTGTCCGTTTCGTCGTAGTTTGATATATAATTAGTTATTATTTAATTAATATAATGATATATAATTAGTTATTATTTAATTAATTATAATATATTATTAAGCTATGACGAAAGTGTTTTATTTGAGTTTTGACAGGAAACATGTCGAGTTAATTTTTGGAGTCGAAAACGGCGTGAAACGGATATAAAAGAATTGCCAGCCATACATTTGGAATTGTCCTAACAAGGCCACATTGAAATGAGAATGAACCCATTTTATTGTGCTGTTGGGCCAAACACACGCAGCCAACAATGTCCATAAATTCCAGCCCAAAGCAACAATTCTCTCAGGCCCAAAAGTCATTTAAGTTGGGGACATAATGGTAATTCCCCTACAAAGAGAAGATCTTCTCCTTCCTCACGTTAGCGTCACTGTTGCACGTCGTCCGCCATTGACGAGCTGCTGAACACCTCACGACCACCTGCTGTGAGGCCGCAACGGCGGCCATCTCGACGGAGCTCGGAGACCGGAGGGCCTATCATTCCCACCTACAACCTGCCGCGCCGGAAATTCTGCCGGAAGCCGCCATTGCTTCGCAGGAGGAGCTTCACTACCGCGCCAACTTGCCATGTCCGGCGACTTGGACGTCTTATGAACACGTGGGATGCCGGAAATTCGACCAGGAGCCACGAACCGAGCTGAGAATGACGATCTGGTGCCGTTTTGAACTCCCAGGCACACACGGGTCGTGTGAGCCCGTAACACGAGTCGTGTCGTTCCGACGGGTCGTATATGGAGCTCTCTACTTTGTCACACGACTCGTGTGGCTTATGACACGAGTCGTGTGACCCTGGACGCATCAGAATCGGATTTTGCGCGTTTTTCTATTTTTTTGGGATTTTTCGACCTATTTCGACTAGGACTCGACCGCAACTATATATACAACCTTTGGACACGTTTTTGAGGACTCTGGGACATAATTTTCACATCTTTGGAGACCTTTGGAGGCTAGAAACACGAGCAAGACGAGAGAGAGTCGGGAACGGAGCTGAATAAGCTTTTTCTTTCTTTTTCTTTTTCCTCTTTCGAACTCAATGTTTTATATCTATTTTTATTATTTTGAAATCATGTTTCTAGGCTAGATTTATCTTAGATTCTAGGATTTGTTAGTACTCGGATTGATTTATGATTTAGTTTTTATTTATTTCATTCCGGTTTATCTTTCGTTTATGAATTTCTTTTGCTTATTATTATTATGTGAGTAGATGACCACTATAAATGCATATTTGTGATCGATTTGAGACCGAGAGGAGATAATTGATTGCTAGAATTGGGAAATTTATAACGTAAGAGAATAAACAGGCCGAGAGGTTGATAGGACTTTGCGAGAGTATGGGAGTTAGTTGTTCATCTTGAGACCGAGAGGAGATAGATAACAATTAATATCTACGATTTGACTTGTTCGAGAGAAAGGTTTGAAATCAATTTAGCGATATCTCTACGATTGGTAAAATTAAATAAGGTTTGTTTGAATATAAACGATTCATGAATTAATTCCGAGGAACGCTTAGCCTAGAATCTATCGTTTGTATCTTATTTTATTTTTATTTTGTTAGATATATTAGTTTTTAGTTTAATTCTTAGTTTATAATCATCATTATATTCACTAGTTTAGATAATATTTAGTCGTCATTATTTTAGTACTTAATTAATTTAACTACAATCTCTGTGGAATACGACCTTGCTCGCCACTACCTATAGCTACGCCGTACACTTGCGGATAGCGAAAATAATTAGCGAACATTGCGTCATTTGGCGTCACAGGATAATATTTCCGCTCGTCACGCCTCCTGGACTGCTTTTCTACAGCAGTTTATTTTCGTCTTTCGTCATCGTTCGGGAGTATCGAACCGGGTGGCAGACGCCCTAAGTCGGCGCGCCCTTTTATTGACTGATATGCGAGTGGCTGTTATCGGGTTCGACGTCTTGCCTGAGGCCTACGCTGATGACTCGTTTTTTGGTCTGATCATGCGCCGCCTAGCCGGAGGTCCTGTCGAGGACTACACGTTGCTTGAGGGTTTTCTATTTCGGGGTGTCCGACTTTGTATCCCGGACTGTAGCCTTGATTGGTCGGAAAATGTGTGTATTTTATATATTTATTAGCTTATTTTTTATATGCTTAATTTTATTATACTTATATATTTTTCGACTTATTTATTTATTAGATAGATTCAAGTGCTATGATATTTTTATGGTTTATTTCAGGATATTGGAGTAATTATAAATAATGGCCATGATATTAATGAGTGGGCCTAAAATGAATGAGCCCAAATCATAAAAAGCTTGTGGAAATTACTTGGAGCAACATTAGAATTGGTGGGCCATTCACGCAAAGGATTTAATTGAGGAAACTTGAATATGCCTAGAGGAGGATTAAAATAGTTGAATGCGAATTAATTGAGGGGCATCTGGACACAGCCGCAAATCAAAGGGAATTATTTGCGAATAGAGAAAAACAGAACAGAAAAAGGGAAGAGCCGCAGGAGAAGAGAACAGACGCGAGAAAGTCGATAAATTACGGAGGGAGGCCGCACCCGCACACGAGGGAGAATTTTATTCTCTCTCTTTTCTCGTTTATTATTTATTTTTATTATTATGTTAGGCTAGTTTAATTCTAGTTCCGGGGAAGTCGAACCCTACGTACTTGGCGAGATTTGATTCCAAAGTTGATTAGACGAGTCAGTCGAGGGTGTAGACGGAACCGTGAACTAGATATTTCTCTTCATTTATTTTATTTTATTATTATTTTTTATTTAGATGTTATTTATTTCATTAGTTAGTTTAGCTATTAAATCACAATCCCCCCTTTTATTGCTTTTTATAAATTCAGTTAATACGAGAAAATTCACGATTTGATTCACACTCCCTGTGGGATCGACCCTTGCTCACTACTACTACTAGTTGGTAGAAGTCGGTTAAGGAAAATATAAATTATAATTTTGCCGCGTTGCGACGCGCGGTCAAGCCTTCGCCACAGGCTCATTGCGGATCTACATGGCGCCGGCCACGTGGGGTGGGACCGCTCTGTTGCTCTGGTTAGTAGATCCTATTTCTGGCCGTCCCTTCGGCGAGACGTGGGCCGGTTTGTCGAGCGGTGCCGCGTTTGTCATGTTTCGAAGGGGGTTGCATCGAATGCCGGCTTATATAGACCCCTTCCTATTCCCTCACGTCCTTGGAGTGCGATTAGTATGGATTTCGTCCTCGGATTGCCGCATACACAGCGAGGCTTCGACTCGATCTTTGTTGTTGTGGATCAGTTTCCGAAGATGGTGCACTTTATTCCGTGTAAGCGCACAACGGACGCGCTTCACGTAGCCCAGCTGTTCTTCCGGGAGATTTATCGTTTGGATGGACTCCCCCATCTTCGATTGTTTCCGACCGCGACACTAGATTTCTGAGCCACTTCTGGCGGAGCCTTTGGCGTATGGCGAACACTCAGCTGGATTTCAGTAGTTCTTATCATCCACAGACAGATGGTCAGATAGAGGTTGTGAATTGCTCGTTGGGCAATTTGCTTCGTTGCTTGGTTGGCGACAACCTTCGCAGTTGGGACCAACGTCTGAGCCAGGCCGAATTCGCGCACAATTCCGCGGTTAGTCGAGCCACTGGGTATTCGCCTTTTGAGACAGTGTATGCAGTTCGTCCACGTGGTCCGTCTGATTTGCTTGAGTTGCCGGCCACGGCATCGGTTGACCGTCGGGCTGCCGACCTAATTGCCGATTTGCAGACGACTCATGCGCAGGCCCGGGCCCGTTTGGAGACCACGACGGCCGCCTACAAGCGGCATGCAGATGGTAAGATGCGACACGTGGAGTTTGAGGTCGGTGACTATGTGTGGGCGGTGTTGACGAAGGACAAGTTCACGGCCCATGAGTATAACAAGCTGGCGGCTCGGAAGATTGGCCCGCTGGAAGTAGTTGAGAAGATAAATTCGAATGCTTATCGTCTCCGTCTGCCATCCCATACTCGCACGTCTAACGTTTTCAACGTCAAGCATTTGGTGCTTTTCGTTGGGGACAATTCTGAGGAAGACGAGACCGGTTCGGATTCGAGGCCGAATCCTCCTCAACCCGAGGAGGATGATGAAGACGAGACCGCCATTGCGTATCTGAATAAATACGACCCTATTCGGGTTTAGTCGGTTTTAATGCCTTATTATTATTAGTACTCTTTTATTTTATTTCCTTTAGGTATTTAGTACTTTGGGGTAGAATAATAATTATCTTGCAATTGTGGGGCAAGATTAAGAAGTTTATTTTTTCTTTTCATTTATATGTTGTGTAAGACATTAGGGATTGCAGTTTTTGACGATTGAAATAATTTTTTGACTGAGAGAGTATCTCACTTTTATCTATTCTTGAGAGAGTATCTCAATTTTATTCCCGTCCGTACTACACTCTACATCACTTGCCAACAATCATTTGTTAGCTTAGTTGGGTCATGAACAACATTGATCCGAAAATCTCAACCTGATTCAAATGAAAACTATTTTCCCACTTACACTTGACTTCTACTAGTTTTTTTTTCCTTTTTTTTTTTCTTTTCTTCTAAGCAAAATAGAAAAGAGAAAAAAATAATGTGATAAATAATGATCATTGCAATGTTTTAGTGGGGAGGTGAACCTCATCGGTTCATAATGTTGGGTAAACAGAGTATAATTCACTATAAGAAAATGATGAAATTTTAATGAAAATATATTTTAATGGATATTCTATTGCTATTATTTCGTTGGATTTTGACGATTCCAATGGTAGATTTTTCAATAGGATTGAAAATAAAAATTCCAATGAAAATTGTAAATTCTAACGGAAATTCTTATGGTAAAAAATCGTTCAAAAAAATAATTGTTGGAATCATCAAATTTCATCTAAAATTCTAATGGAAAACATATTCCAACATAATATTTTAGTTGGAATCATTCCAATAGAAACTATAACATTGAAATATCAGTCGGAATATGTTACCGTATAATTTTTCATTGGAATATAACAAATTTTTTGTAGTGATTGTAATCTTAATAAAATTTTCTACTACCGAATGATACTAATTAACTTTTAATAAAATTTCTTATATCCTATAAAATATTATCTAAATAAAATTTAAGCACTACATGCACGTGCCTTTTGGACCTGTATGTTACAATCAAATTCAAAATAACGGTGTCCACACGGGCCAAGAATAATTTCATTGCCAAATTAATAAGAAACTCAAAACCATTATAAAAGATCACTTTATAAAGGTATCATTTTATAAAGAATATTTAGAAGTTTGAACTATTATAAAAGATCACTCAAACTTGAAAAGAGAAATTAATATAATATTTTTAAATAATGCTCAATTCACTATCTGAATGTTAAGTTATACCAATATGAGTTTGTTTGTCAACATTTAATGGTATTTCAGTCAAATCCACGGTATTATATTTCCTCTATTTATTATTAAATTAAATGTTGTTGTAGAAAGAAAAATTGTATATTACTTTTTTGTAAAATATTTTAATTCACATGTTTAGATTTTAATATTTTTAATAATTTTTTTTTCTTTTTTTTTTTACCATCTTTAATTATTTTATCGTTTCCTTATACTTAATTTTTGATCTTTTCATAATATACAATTTAGTATATTATATAATTCATATTTGTAAGAATCGGGGTAAAACGGGTACAATTTATTCTATTATATAATTAACACTTGTAAGAATCAGGGGTAGAACAGGTACGGTCTCATGTACGTGAAGTACCATGACAAGTGAGCCCAGATGAAGCCCAAGTGAAGTTTCATCGCAAAACTGATAAGTTAAGCCTATTTTCTCTGTGTAAACGATGTGAGACAACACGCCCCCTCAATGTCCTTCAGGTGTGGTTCTTATCCTAATAATTATATTTCTTCTTATATCTTATATTGTGTGTTCACGCATTAGCCTACCTTATTAGGTGGTCAAATTGTGCGATCAATCGACTTCCAATGAACCAGGTTGCTCCGACTTTTAGCATATAAACTTTGTCTCTTAGGTCGCACTATCGACTTACATGTCTCCAGGTTGAGTTTCTATTAGGCTAACCGAGAGGCTTAACTCGATTTGTGAAGTCACCACTGACTTGATGACTCTTCGACCAGCGGTGTCCTCGATCTCCAGCCGACCTGCCGGTTTACCCGGTTCAATAAGACCGCTCTTTATGTCATACTCGAGTTGATATGATATTCCATATCAATTACTATATTATGTACACATATGTTAAGCTAGACCATAAAATGTAGCAAATATGATTGCAATCATTTAATATATGAATTGTTATACCTAACGAATGATCCATTTCATACGGTTTCAGCATTTATACTTTGAAACTTCTAAGTCAAGTCAAAGTTCAGATGGCTGTGTACACAGTAGTCAAAAGTATGCTTGACTTTCTTACAAGCAACTCATAACTAGCTTGCAGGGCAGTTCATAATTACAAATTAAATAATCAAGCTAGTTAATTAGCATCTCGCAGTTTTATCCAGTAAGATGAAATATTTGCATATAGGTCAGGTCTATGTTTCATTTTTATATTCCTTCACGATGCTACATTTTTTTATCAGCAACACTCAGAGAAACTGCTTTAATTGTGGGAAAAAGAAATTGTGAATTAATCCCATGTTTGTTAGCGTGTGTGTTTGCAACTAATTAAATGATCCTAATACGATTTTTTGTGCACTGTTATCCGATGTTTTAAATGTAATCGACAATTGTATCAAACGGTTCACCAGTATGTAGTTCAACAGACTTTATCGTCTATTTTATCGATTTTAATAAATATCAATTTAATTTATTATTATGATATAAATAATGTATAATTGTATCAGACGAATCACCAGTACGTAGTTCAACAGACTTTATCGTCTATTTTATCGATTTTAATAAATACCAATTTAATTTCTTATTATAATATAAATAATGTATAAAAACAAATTTAATAAATACTAAAGTAACATTAATCAAAATTTAATAATAACGTAAACATATTAAAATTATGCGGAGAATGTTCAATTTATGTAAAAATAAATAAAAATATAATAAACTATTTTTATTATAAAACAATCTTGTCTATCTGGTATTATAACCGTAGTTTTTGTCGGTATTTTTTTTTATAAAAACGTTATTTTCTAGTATGAAACTGGTAATTTGGTAAAAGTGGTATTTAGAAGATTTACGTATAATATTTAATAAAATATTTTTGTGGTCTAGTTTTGCAATTTTGCTACGGTGAGCTGAAAAACTTTTACCACGTGTCCACATAAGAATAGTCGGGCCGACTGTGGAATTCCATTGCGATTTCGGCGGATCATGCTAATTTTGGTTACAAATTATGCAATTTATTAATTATCGAGTATTGTTTGCATTTAGTAAATTTTATGACTGCTATTGTCGCTACTCAATGGTAATAACGGGCTAGATTTTATAATTTTCCAAAATTAACCCTCATTTGATTATTAGTGGATTAATACTAAATTAGTGGATAAAACTCATTTATAGGTTTGACCAATTAAATCTGTTAATTAAGTTGTTTGGTAACGAATTTATTGGATTAGTTTTTTGGACAAAAAAACTAATTCTGAAAAAAATTCAAAAGAAACAACATTTTGGATGAGATTGTTCAAAAACTGGCAATACATAGTAATGACTGTAATATTTTCTACTATCCAACGCTTATTTGACAAATCACTAATTGAATTCTCTAGTCAAACTAATTAACAGATACAATCCGCTATACATTATTTACTAACACAATCAATTATCAGTTATTCACTAATACAATTTAGCTTTCCATTACTAACAAACAAGACTTTGTTTTTTTAGTTGCAAAACAATACCTTTGTTGTTTGAGTTTCTATATATAGTTTTCTAATAATTGCAGTATAAGTACTTTGATAATCGGACCTACATAACTGTTAAATTTAAATCTACTGAGATGTGTGAATCAGTGATTGGAATCAATTTTTTTTTTAATTTATTTTTCTATTTTTTCAGTGTGTGCATGTCGTAATTGATATGTATGCAGTATGTTATTTATTCTTATTTTGGAAAGCAGTATTAATGATTCTCAAAGTTTGAATGCATGTATGTCCATATTTGAAAGGGGTTGGGCATAGCCGTATAGATTATGTGTATGGCTACCATCCAACATTTTATATATATTACTGGTTTTTGTTTTATTCGTTTTCCATTTTTCAAAGTGAAATTGTTTCAGTTGTTTGCGCTAAGCAGAGTGAAAAGTCTTGAAACTGTTNTTTTCCCCCAAACTTAGTGTCAAGAAAATTGGTAAGTAATTTTATTCTCAGGCGACCAACATATAATATGCATATATTTCATTGATAATAAACGCATATACATAATGGCCGGAATGGACCAATTCACTAGAAAATATATTCTAACAAAAAAATTAAACTGTAAATTATTCTAATAATAATTTCAATGTATATTTTAATGATATAGCTTCTATTGAAATATTCCAACAGATATTAACATTAAAATATTCCGTTGAAATTATATTTACCTTGGAGTTTTAGTTAGAATTTGTTGATTTGAACGTTCCTTTTTTTTTTATTATTATTGTAAAATTTTTATTTCTATTTTTTTCCACTCATATTTCAATAGTTGGAATAGTCAATATTCAATAGAAATTCTAAGAAAAAACTTATTCCAACGTGATTAATGATTATCTGAATTTAATTTCGAACAAAGATACACGACCAGAGAGACTTGAGTATTATCCCACACTAGCTAATAACTACAAACAATCTCTCCCTAAAGGTAACGATTGGCTATAATAGTTTTTTTATTATTATTATTATTATGCCTGTCAAATTTATCTTGTTGAAATTGAGAATGAAAGAAAAAATTATTTACAAAAATCACTATTAATTTCCGACATTTTATTCTCTACTATCCCACTAACACAATTATATGAATTAATCATTATTATTTATTTTTAAAGAATTGATAATGAGTTACTAAGGGGATGCTTGGATATAATTTTTTTATATTTTTTTATTTTGTTTAGATTTTATAGATTGGCATGGTTAATTTTGAAAAGAAAAAAAAAGTAATATGATTAATTGTTAGTTTAGATTTTGAGTTTATATTAAAATAATATTTAAAATAAAAAAATTAAAGTTGATTTGATATAAAAGTAGGAGAGAGATGATGTGAAGTAATGGTTACATAAATAAATTTATATGAGTAGATGAATATGAATTAAAGTTGATGTAACGTGTAAGGATGATTAAGTGATATTATTTAATTATATTAATAATGTTGATGATAGTACGATTGAGTTAAAGAATTTAGATTTGAGTTAAAAATAATAATTGAGTAAAAATGATTAATGTTTTTTTGAAAAAATTTGTAACAAAGCATCTCTAATTGATCAATTGCCAAAAGGAAATTTACAAACATAAACCCAATATAACTTGTTTCAGCAAGTTGCTAACATACTTCCATCAATCTAATTTATTATTATTATTTTTTTTTTTCTAAAAACAGCATTTTTCCTGTTTCATCTTTAAAAAAAATAAAAAATCAGAACAATTATTACATTGAAAATATCCAATCGCTGCCAAAGTTTTCGCAATATGAATTATTGATACCATAAAAAGTAGATCCACACAAAACTTCACTTTTCAAGTAATTAAAACCTCAAAATATAAAAACTTTCCACCACCTACGAAAATGCTATTTTTATTTTTACTTTCAAGGACAAGTAAATACCAATTGCAAAGCTGCAGCAGCCAGTCAGCCACCATAGTCCTTAACCCCGACCCCACCAGCAAAACAAGAAAAGAAAAACAATAATAACAAAACCAATAATTAATTATAGAAAAGAAAGAAGGTAACAAATTGTAAAACGTCCTCTATTCAAATACTATACACAAACGCGCATGAAAGACTTCATTCAACATCACTGTCTCCATCTCCCTCTCTAGATAACAAAGAATTAATTAGCGAAGAGAGATAGAATATAAAAGAAAGCTTACATAAAGTAATACCAAAAAGCACAAGCTAAGGCCATTTATATCAAATGATCCAAAAAAGTCTTTTTCCCACAACTATAATAATAATTCTCTCCTACCTTAGCCTATAACTATAATAATAATACAACTATAATAATCACAAAAATAACAACACACAGACATACACATCCATTATATATATATATATACTATTTTCTTGCTTAACCCACAAGAATTTCTTCAAAGCACCAATTTTTTCTTGATCAAACCTTGACATTCCATACCCAAACCCCTCATCATCATGTCTGGTGAACAAGAAGACCACAAGAAATACTCTTTCCCCTACTTTTCCAGCTTTCATCACCAGGAGGACCAAACTATGCATTTGTCAGATCATGATCAAGGGTTTGCTTTCCCCATCATCACAGATAATCACACCAACAACTACAGTACCTTTATGTACAACCATCAACAGCAACAGCAACAACAGCAGCAGCAAAACCCTAACACTCTTGAGTTCGATCATCTAAATAACCCTAATCCGGCCGATTTAAGCTTCTCAAACTGCCTTCAGTTGGGGGCCGCCGATTATAACACCCTCTCGAATGCCTTTGATCTCTCTTGTTCTTCTGTTGATCAACAAATCGCCATTCCAAACAACAATAATGATAATAATAATATTAATAAAAATATTATCACCAGCTCTGCTGATGATTTTGTGTACAAAGGGGTAGATATTGCAGGTGGGAGTGAAAATCAGCAAACACAGAATTCTTCGGGCTCGGTTTCTTCTCATGAAGGTGGGGTCGAGGAGGACTCGTCCAAGGGAAGCAAGACTACTCTGCAGCCGAAAGACGGTGAAGAAGAAGGAACTGATGGGAAATCTAAGAATGTGTATGTTATTTAATTTGTTTCAATTTTTTTTTTGCTTTTGTCTTTTTCCTTTCTTTGCTTGTGGATCAAGATATGTGCTAATTGTGGTGTTGATTTTCAGTTCTTGGATCGGCTAAGAACACATATGATTTTCATTTATTAGTATTTTTTTTTGTAAGCAAGAAAAACAAAAGTGATGATGGGATATTAGAGACAAGAGAAACCCTAGTATATATATATATATATATATATATATCCTAGGAGTAGCATTATCTGGTTGATCTAGCAAGAGATTTTTGAAAAACACCTAGCTACCTAGTATACATGATCATTAATTAACTACATTTATTATTGAGAATCTAATTAATTTCATGCCTATGTGTATATATATATATGGAATTAAATTAATTCATGTGATGACCTAAAACTTAAAATTGTTACACCATATTTTCATCTTAATTATCAGCGGAAAATCGAAAAAGAAGGATGAGAAAAAGCAAAGGGAGCCACGATTCGCCTTCATGACCAAATCCGAGGTCGACAATCTTGAGGACGGATACCGATGGAGAAAATACGGCCAGAAAGCAGTCAAAAACAGCCCTTTTCCCAGGTATTTAATTTGATAATTTAATCTATGGATATTTAATTTGACCCCCTAAACTACTGGCTTGATTTACTCAAAACACAGTATTTCCAAAAAAGAATCTTGTGAGTAAATTAACCTATTTGATTAAATTAATCAATCAATCAATTAATTAATTATTTTATCTATCACAGGAGTTACTACAGATGCACAAGCCAGAAATGTGGGGTGAAGAAGCGAATTGAGCGGTCATCACAAGACCCGTCGGTGGTAATCACGACTTACGAGGGCCAACACAACCACCACAGCCCAGCCACCGTCCGTGGCAGCGCCGCCGCCATGCTGACGCCATCCCTCTTCCCGCCGCCGTTCATGGGCGGCGGCGGAGGCTTCCCGGCCGAGCCGGACCTCCAGTTTTTCCCTTCGGCCCGCCAGCAGGTCCCGAGCTCCGGATATTTTTCCCATTTCATAAATCCACATCAGCACCAGGAGCCCAATGACCAGTTTGGGCTTTTTATCCCGGGCTTGAACAGTAATATCTCATCTTCTTTCCTCCATAAGCGCACCCATCCGTGATTAGCTGCTCAATAAATAACCTACGAAAATGCCCTTTTTCTTTTGNTACGTACGTCTCGGCGTATTTTTATGGATCTGTTGGACGAATTAATTTTATGGATGTGTTTTGGGTTTGATTGTTTGTTTGAATTTGACCACTATATGTTGGATCATATTGTACACGTGAAATGTGGCATGTTCGTTTAGTGCTGTGGGATTGAGTAGAGTATGATATCTAACGCATAATTTTCTTGAATTTTTTTAATTGATTTTTATTGCACTAGTTCCACTAGTTTTGTGTCGTGTGTTAATTTGTTATTTGATATTTTACAAGAGATTAATATATCATGTATTGGTACAGTTCAATTTAAAAAGATCACACAAGATCTTAATTAGCTGATGAACACATTTTAATGTGCTGGCAAATGGTAACTAAGCATTTTCGAGTTGTAAGATTTTCAAAATTTCCGGTGTCGATCGTAAGAATTGAAAAATTTTATGAGAAAGAGTTGACTGGAACTGGAGTGACTTGCATTAATGTGTACCATACACAAACGCACAACATTGCAACAATTGTTTGCTCTTTTTTACTGCCCTAAACAATATTTTGATAATGTTTAAATTCATTGTGTTTCGTTTCATG